GGAAGAAAATGTGGTAATATTGCAATTAATAGAAAAAAGATGTTCTACGTTCTTGGCTTGCTTGCCTTTATGAAGCTCACGGGATATGTCTCCCAAAGTTAATGATGATGACCTTTAAGCAATTTTGGGTTAACAAGTCCACGTTCGGCATAATTGCGGATTACCTTTTTATTTTTTTTAAATTAAAATCAATTTAATGCACCAACTACGCCCGCGTGTAGTTATTATTATGATAAAAACCGACAAATATCCACATCAAGCCATAATTAAGTTAATTATAATACTAATGAAGAGGGTTAGGCCTTCGAGCTGGACGCTTGATTTGGCCTTGGAACCTACTGATATATCTCTTCTATGTAAATCAAATGGGACAATGCGTTGCTGCTCAACTCAGCATTGTAAAGAGAGAGACATGTATGAGCTCATTAAATGAGTGACATCAAGTTCTTTCATAATTTTATATCACTAACAATCCTTATCTCCTTTGCTCGGCTCAGACACACCTCATTGATGGCTCTCCTCAGTAGATAAAAAATCAGTGCAAGTGTCTGACTGCTCGAATTCTCTTTCTCATCGGGAAAACTTATTACATGCGATGTCTGGTCATGTCTTGAAGCTAATCCGGACGCATCACGTTACTCAATACATAGTGCATTGGATGACTTGATGCACTCGGATTGGGCTCCGGATGCGTTCAGACACTGCACAAAATAATATCTCTCTCATCAGATTGCAAGACTCTATCTTTATCCTCTCTCTCTCTCTCTCATCTTAAGGTATAATTATTTTATTTAAATAGTTAGATTTTCTATTTTATAGACATATAGATATTTACTTTAGTTTTTTATTATATTTTTTAATAAATTCTTTTATTTTAGATTTTGTATTTACAAACAATTATATGATAGATTCATGTTAGATTTATTATTAGGAAAATTGTATGTTAGGTTTATGTATTAATACAAATTGTTTAATGATGCTATTATTAAAAAGTATACATTGCTACATCACAAAAAATCGTCTTGATCGGGCACGAATCTTGAGGTACATGCAAGTTAGCATCTTCCAAAATTAACTACATGACCTGTCCAACAAATAGATCCAAAACCAACTCAAAAAATTTGGATTTGAGTTGACCCGATCATTAATTGGGTTGAGTTCGGTATAAAATCTTAACCCGAATAATCAAGTTAGCATCTTCCAAAATTAACTACATAATTTGTCGAACAAATCGAACCAAAACAAACTCAAAAAATTTGGATTTGAGTTGACCCAATCATTAATTGGGTTGAGTTCAGTATAAAATCTTAACCCGAATAATTTTTTATTCTAGTTAGTGATAACTTGAAATCCTAAATTAACTTGAAATTAATCTGATTATTATTTAAATTCAAGTTAAATGAATTGGGTTCATGTTAAACGGGTCATTTCTTATTAAACAAGTTAAATTCGGGTTAATCAATTTTGAGTCAAATATGATTTGTGTCTAAGTATTTTGACCTATTTGATAAACGGATTTGATTCAAGTCAAATATATTTTATTTCGGTCAATTTCAAATCAGATTTAAACTGGACTCGTCAACTTGAATTGAGATCCCTATGCTAAGCGCGATTTAACACCTTGGTATATAATATGATAGTAATTTATTTAAAAATAATTTTGACAAGTTCTTATTATTCAAGGTGAATTTAATAATCATTAAATTTATTTTAAATTGAGTGCAATATAAATTATAATCAATTAGCCATACATTCAACTTATATCAGAATAAATTTAATAATTATAATTTTCATTATAATAAATTTTGAATTAAGACATCAATCAACATAACAAATTTTCCCTATATATCTATATGGTGAATATGTCAATTAGATTCCAAAATGGGCTCTGACCCACAATGCAACTATTACTATTTAGTGGTCCATTTTGATAGTCTCTCTCACTCTCTCTTTTATAATTATTTGGTTAAAGATAGATAATTGCACATTAATATTCTTTTACCTTTTCAATGCCATTTTTTACATAAATATCTCATTTTTAATTTAAAATCTTCAAAATTATTAAAAAAATTAACAATTTAAGCTTCCTCTGTAACTTGTAAGATCATCTCAAACCGAACTGCATACGGTGAGTCGCTCGTTATTCGTTGCATTCGAACTCCAAATCTTACGCCAAAATTCGGTAGGTAAACGGTGCGGCGTCAATATTTCACTAAGAGATCTCAAAAGAAAAAGAACTCACTAAGAGATCTAAAAGATGGAACTCACAAAGAGAACGCAAAAAGCAAATTTTCATTAACAATTCATCATCTCATTACATAAGAAAAGGCCTCTATATATAGGCCTAAAAAACTAAAACAAGACACATATGCCCCTAAGGCTTACATAGGACGACCCTCTTAAGTGAGGGTAAAAACGAAAAATTCATAATAAAAATTTAAAAATTACAAATAAAATATAAGATAACGTGGGACGATGACAGCCATTGATCTTCAGCTCCTTAGATAGCCATGGACGGTTGGATGTCCGCATCAACAAGAGTAAAGAAAAACCCAATGACTAACAAAAAGATTAGTGTCTGATAAAACAAAAACCAGTCGCCAAAGAGGCCAAAAAGACTCAAAATGCAATACAAAATTTAAACACCCAGCAGACGTTGTATGCATCAGGTCTCATAATTGCCAAGAAGACCGTCCAAGGAGAAGCTGGAGTGAACCAGCATTCATCATCGTCCAACAAAACTCAAAAACCGACAATGGCCTCGAAAGTCCATCCGAAAAAGCCACAGGGCAATCCTAAAGATCATCCCAAAATCCTTCCTTAAAGAGCATAAAAAAATTCAACAGTTACTGCAACAGCTGATGAACCAACTGAAAATATTTCCATTTTGTGATTTTAAATCTGCTACTTCAGAAATCTTAGAAGCAATGGTCTTATAGCATTCAATTGAATTCCCAAAAACTCGATCATTTCTAGCCCTTCTTACATAGTAAACCGTGGCGAAAATCAAAAGGAAATAGCCGATGAACCAAAGTCGGACTCTTCACTTACGCAAAAAAAAAAATAAAAAAATAAAAACTTGCTTGCGAATTTGACAAAGACGAGTGGGAAAGAGGAGAAAAACACACTACATATGAGAGCTATGGTTACCTTCGCAGGAAGCATGCATGTGAAAGATGAGAGAAATGATGTTCAATTGGAGATGAATTACGTCATTTTGAAGTTTTACTGTAATTTAGAGTGTAAAATGAATTTTTCGTTTGGAGATTATGTAATTTATCTTTCCTTTTTAATCTTTAGAGTGTAAAATACTTGGATGAAAAGAATGCATGCCTTTCTTCTTATTTTTTCTAATAATTTTTATAGAAACTTTACTTTTCTAAAATTATAATAGAAACCGTTGGTAGAGACCACTTTTAAGACCACAGAAACAAAATTCACTTCACACTTATATGTAAATGAGACAATAAAAATATGAACTAATTTCCCTCCTATTTCTATTGCGCTTAACACTCACAATTATTTTATATATAATTTAAATCATTTTCAATCAACTGCAACAAAGCAAATTAGTCTATGGCGTAACTGTGAGAATCACAGCTGACCTAAACTATTTTTGGCTACCTAAAACAGTTTTTGTTTTTTAATAATATAAGTAACAAAAGGTTTTTTATAATTAATTCTATATTTCAAGTCTTAACTTATATTGTTCATGTAGATATTGTCCTTCCTTACCATAGTACTAAAAAAAATATATTTGATGATGATTAAAGATGTTGCATATATGAAATAATTGAGGAGATAATTAAGAAAGAGTCTCTATAACATATAATGAAAGTAGCTAAATTGATGATATGATCAACATTAAAATTTTCTTAATTTGACTTGTAATAATTCATTACTTTTATCTCAAAAAATTCGATAGATATCACTAATCTTAGGCTTTATTTGGACCAATTTTCTCCACTTCTTAAAGCAATTTTTTAGTTAAATTTTTTTTAAACTATAAATTTTTGTATTAAAAAACTGTTTTAGAAAGCATGAAGCAAGTCATCCGAGATGAAGTCTTAGACTTCATTTGTGACGGCTTTTTTACTGCTTCTTCAAGCAATTTTGTAGAAATTAGTAAAAATAAGTCTTAATCAATTACTTTTTATTAGTAGTAATTTAATATCTATATTTTATTACGAGTGATGACTTATGCAATTTACTAAATATTATCTCTTTAATTCGTGCTTGACATTAGATATTATTATGTATTTCAATATTTTTATTTTATTTTAAAATTAATGACATCTACATTTCTAAAACAAACATCTAAAAAAATTCATTAGACGTGACAAAGGTCATGCTTTGGACAAATTATTTTGTGCGGACTCTGGACATAATAAATCGTCCAGATTGTTGAGTATTTGTTGGTTATTTACTGTGTATTTTAACATACGTAGTAAATAATCAGTTGTGATTATTTGTTGAGTATTTGATGAGTTTTTATTGAGTATTTACTGATTATTTATTATTTTTACTACATTTTTCTGATTTACTATATATTTGTTATTTATTTACTATATATTTTAAAATACGTATTAAATAAACAATAAATACTTAAAATAATCAACAAATACTTAGTAATCCGGGCGATTCTCCATATCTGGAGTCAGCATAGAATAATTTTTACATGCTTTGACATTTTTTGGAATTTAACCTTCCAAAATATACTAAATATGAATTAAAAAAATTCATCAAACCCTACAAGTGCCAAATAGTCTACTTAAAGACTGAATCAAATCCTCCCTTTTGAAGCTAATTTTGATGAAGGCGGTGTTGATCTATTTATAAATTTCAAGCCGCGGGCCAGCCCGACCTTATGTGGAGCCCTATTAAATGGCCACGCGCACGCATAGGTGGTGAGCACGCGGGCCAGCCCGACCCTACGACTTGGAGCCCTATTAAATGGCCACGCCCACGCATCCGTGATGGCATTCCTACCAAAACTCGCACGGAAAAACAGAGCGCTACGAGCGTGAAAAGCTGAATACATCTTTTTTCATTTTCTACTTGCAGATTAATAAAAGTCTGCAACTGAGGCGGCAAAAGAAGGAAAGGTTCGGCAGGGAGGAAGCGAAAAAGAAATTTCGGGAGTTTCACTTCATCTCATTTCAGAAGCCATTTTCAGAGGCCATTTCTGGATCAGTTTATTGAGTATTTGAAGTCTTGCATTGATTTCTTATATCTGCTTCAACTTGAGGAAGGAGAGATCAGTTGGAGTGGTACGAGCGAGTTACTCCCCGGATTCCGGATTGTATTGAAAGGAGCTTCCCAGAGTAACTATATTACTGAATTTACTTGATCTGCACTTGGTAGAGTAATGGGAGCTCGGTGCTCGAAAATCTCTCTTTGCTGGTGGCCAATGACCTTCAAGTCATCCATTATTGAGTCCAGAGATCTGGGTACTCTCTTTCTCTCTATATCTCTCGCTCTTGGAGCTTCTGATTTTTATCACAGATGCATTTGGGTGCTGGTTGCAGAGAATGGAGGGGGAGGTGAGATGGAAGCACTGCCGGCGTTCAAGGAATTCAACTTGGAGGAGCTGCGGGCTGCAACGGACGGATTCTCGCCGGAGCGCATCGTCTCCGAGCACGGTGAGAAGGCCCCCAACGTCGTCTACCGTGGCCAGCTACTCGACGCTGATCGCACCGTCGCCATTAAGCGCTTCAACAAGTCCGCCTGGCCCGATGCACGCCAGTTCCTCGTCCGTTTCTCTCTCTCTCTCTCTCTCTCTCTAGCGCATGTGATTCAATACAATAACGTTATCTCATGGATCTCTTCCTTGTTCTTTATTGAAGGAGGAGGCGAGATCAGTTGGACAGCTCCGGGGCGAGCGCCTGGCGAATCTGATCGGTTGCTGTTGCGAGGGAAGCGAGAGGCTCCTTGTGGCCGAGTTTATGCCCCACGACACCCTAGCTAAACACCTTTTTCACTGTACGACTATTTCGAGCTAACACTTGTCTAATTCTTCTCTTTAATAATTATAATTTGGAGACTACTTTTTTTTTTTGTCTTAATTCTATCTGAATGAGAGTTTTGAAGAGTTGGGGTTGCGCCATCTTTAGATCTTTCATAATGTTTATTTTTGGAATGAATTGATATTTGAATGTGGCAGGGGATACGCGACCTTTGAGTTGGGCAATGAGGATAAGAGTGGCCCTGTACCTGGCGCAGGCCTTGGAGTACTGCAGCAGCCGAGGTCGTGCTTTGTATCACGATCTCAATGCCTACAGGGTTCTCTTTGACCTGGTGAGAAATGACACAAGTCTTGAATGTGACACTTTCAATGTGCTATCTTCTTAATATTGCTCTTTGTTCTCATTCTGGTCCCTGATTTTCTCATTATGGTGAGTAGGATGGTAATCCTAGGTTGTCGACTTTTGGCCTCATGAAGAACAGCAGAGATGGGAAGAGCTATAGTACCAATTTGGCATTCACACCTCCGGAATACCTTAGGACAGGTGAGCATACTTGCATTATAGAAAAAATAAGAACGAACTCGTAAAAAAATAAATAAATAGAGAGTGTTTCTTTAGTTCTGACTTCTGCAAGCTCATCAAGTTTATTACTTTTCTCATGCGTATTTTTTATGATTATATATTCTATTTTGCCTTTTGATCTTAACTATTTGCGGGGGATTCAGAATAATAAGTTACGATGTATGCTAATTTTGCTCATATATAGGTATTAATCTTTCGAGGAAAGAGTTGCATGAGTCTATGGCCAGTAGAAACCTAATGCAAAATATTCTTTTCACTAGCTACTTCGATTATTGCCACATAATTTATTGGTTTCTACCCAAATTATGTACCTTTGCATTGCAGTTACACAGATTTTACTGTTTAATTAAGGTTTCATTTGGGATAGCTTTTTTCTTACTTTTTAAAACAGCTTTCTAGTGCAAAAATTTCAAAAAAAATTTTGAATTTGAAATTTTTGTACTATAAAATCATTTTAAAAAGCAGTATGAAAGCTATTCCAAACGAAGTCTAAGTCACGCTTAACTTATTCCCTAATTCTTATCTTACCATCTCAATTCATGAATTCTAGGAAGAAGTCTAGGACTACAAGTCTCAAATTTAATTTCTTCCAGTGTTGGTAAATTAATTTCTAGAATTTATTTACTTGGCAGGAAGAGTGACACCTGAGAGTGTTGTATACAGCTTTGGCACTCTGTTGCTTGACCTTCTCAGCGGGAAACATATTCCCCCTAGTCATGTAAGTTTATTTTCCCTCAACTGCTATGATACAATAATTTAGATGCACGTCAAACTTGGATAAAAGAACAAGAACCAAACATAATGAAAAAGAATAAATCACGATTTGCAAAACACAAACAAACACAAGAGATTTATTTGGAAAATTCAAATATGGGAAAAAATCACGTGGGAGAAGGGATAATGGCTTCACCATGACTATAGAGAAGAGGCGGAATATAAATGACCTACTAACCTTAAGCCCTTTTCAACATATTTATAGGGCAAAAATAGAGCACCGAAAAAAAAGGTGGAATTCCAAAATACCCTTACAATCAAAATTTGTTCCGGGGTGTTTCCCCTGGAAACCCCCAACATATCTGCGAAGCGTACGACGGTCAAGGACATGAGCAAATAAAGGTCTAGCCAAATTTGAGGCAAGTCCAACACTATTTGAGTCAATTAGTGTTTTTAAAGCTTCTCAAAAAGACAGCAAGCATCTTGCTATTGCATTAGTTTAAAAAATTTTGTCAGATTAAGCCTAGTTAGCGTAAACAAAAAAACTTTATGTTAGTTCAATTTATATGGAAAGGAAAGCAAAACTATCTAAACCTTAACTTGGAGTGCTATTTAGATTTATACCTTGACATAATGCTAATCTTTAATTGTATATTTCCTATAATGTAAGATGTTTGAGTAATTGATAGTCTGGAAAATTGTGAAAGACATTAATCCCTTTTTACAGGCACTTGACCTAATTCGTGGCAAGAATTTTTTGATGCTGATGGATTCTGGTTTGGAGGGGCATTTTTCAAATGATGATGGAACTGAGTTGGTACGGTTGGCATCCCGCTGTTTGCAATATGAGCCGCGTGAGAGGCCAAACGTGAGGTCTCTTGTGTCTGCACTTGTGTCCCTACAAAAGGAAGCTCAGGTAAAGGTTTTCTTTCAAGTTCAATTCCAAGAGCGGCAATCTACATTAAAAGGTCATAGTGCACAATTTGAAGTTTTATTAGTTGAGTAGCAGTAAGCCGGTAACCTTTGCTTCGCTCTGTTTATCTTGGCTTACGATAAACCTTACTTATAAAATCTTATTCACCTAAGTTGAAGTCGATGTATTTTCACTCTTCTTATTCTTACAAATTTTAAATGTATTATTGTTCATGAGAGGCATGGATCATTACCACCTTGGACTTAAAAAGAGTATTATGCAAAGGAATATTCAGATTTGTTAAAATTTGACAACTTTAAAGGCGCTTAACTGTTACGCCCAAGCTATTACATCCAAGACTGATTCAAAGTTCTTTAGTAGGTGCCATCATATATATTGATGGGTATTCCAAATCCATCTGCAACCTCGGTTAAGCCTTTGAGTCCACTTGGTGAAGCTTGCTCTAGATTGGATCTCACTGCAATTCATGGTATACTAGAGAAGGTTGGATACAAGGATGATGAGGGAATAGCGAATGAGGTATTGCAATTTTATTGATGCACCTATTTCCCTTTTATAATAAGAATAGTTGCCGGTTTTGTGACGGCTCTAGAATATTTTCATCTGTTTTGGTTCTCCATTATTTAATCAAGTACTATTTTTATTTGGAGTGTTGCAATACCAATTATGTATCAATGAAGCTATTAATAACGTCATAGCAAAGGGAATGATGTCAATGCCCATATCATGTTCAAGTTACAAAATATAAACCTGCAATATTGTAGTCATTGGACATATATAAATAAAGAATAAATATTCCAGAGTGCAAGAGATTAGACAACATTGATTAAGAAATTATGAATAAGTTTTGAAAAGTGTTATTTGACATAATTTGGTCTTACAATTGTTATTAAATGCATCAGCACAACATAAGCAAAATTATATCACATAAATTCAATATATTTGATTTTATTATAATTGGATTCTCTAAAACTTGATCATGAAAGGAAATTAACTATTAAATAACCACCTAAAGAGATCTCCCAATTTCTGTAGTCGTTCAATCTTAGCTCCAATTGCATGCACGGGTAACTGCTGGGCATTGATTCTACCTAAGGTTTCAGCAAGTAGCAAAATCACTCTTTCTTCTACCTTCAGAAGGGAGGTCGTCCCATTTTTTTCTCTTCTTTTGCACACACAGATCAGAGGAGTCCAAAAAAGCTAGGTCGTCACTCTCTATTCTTGCAAGGAATCATCTGCTGCTGCTTTTTTTTTTCTGCATTCCTCCACGCACTCTGCTGTATTCGAACGGCCAAAAGCGGAATGGGTGGAGAAATGCCGATCGTGCTCTTGTAAATTTCCAAATGCATATGATGAGTTGGGCAAGTTTGAATGACCTGAAATAATTCGACTCAACCAGACTAGGCTCAAGTCGACCTATTTAGGCCACCTAATCTAGCCTAGTGGGTTGAGCTAGTTAGTGAATGTCATGCCATTTGGTATCGACCTAAAGGATCCTATAGGCTTCTACCACTAAGCTAGGATAGCCTAGCTTCTAGGAGATCCCTGGGGGAAAAATATTGACCTCATAAAAAATGAGGTCAGCAATATTATAAGGAATGTCAGATTGAGCCCAATATTGCTCTTCTTACATAGCCTTGATTGGTCCTTGAATTTATTCGGAAGTTACTCTTTGGTAATTGTAACATTACCACAACTTTGCTTGAAGTTTTTTAATTGTTATGAATTCTTTGTTGTTGACCTGAAATTTTATCTCTCTTGAAATTTGGGCGATGATTTGAACTTGTGCAACGGTGACAACTGACTAGTTATAAGCATTGATCTATATTACAGCTCATTGTAAACTAATAAAGTAGATAATTTTGTCCTATAAATTGAAGTGTTATAAAGCATAAGATTGTTCGTTGATTTTAGTTTATCTATGGAGTGCCTATTTGATGTGAAACTACTAGGAGTTACGATCAAGATTAAAAAGAGAATTGTTAAAGTTTGCTTTTGTAATTTTATGGGGATCATGCAAGGTAGAGTTAAGGTTTAGAAACGTTACTTTGCTTAGGCAAAAGAGTTGCAAAAGAGATTAACCAAAACGATAAGAAATTTTAATAGAAAATATTAAAGCTGACATATCCCAAGGACTTTTTTTGACATTATTTTCCTATAAGATCTGCGGAGCTTTCGACATTACTTTTTGTGCTTAGTGTAGATGATCTGGCTTTAGTATAGTATTGCTTTGCATGGGGAAACCTTGTTATTTCCAGGTTGTATGACTTTTCCCTACCTTTTGTCTGCATGAAAAATTGAGAACTAGCACCAAGTTTTATACAGACCTTGGCCACATTGCCACATATTAAGATCGCATACATGTTCACTTAACATGAATCACATAATATGCGCTTTAGCCTAAAAAGTAAGAACTTTAGAAATTCTTATGAGAACTGTCATAATTATAAATTCCAGGTAGTATTTGGGTTTCTTGTTGCTTGATGGCCTAAAGCAATGATGCCCATCTTAAAACTCGAACAATGGTGTGCATATTGGAGTTTTGCAGTTGGAGTTTACATGTTGTTGACCATGAGTAGATTTATGGGTGTTGACTACATCAAATGGAACAATTGCAGCAATTTTTTAGTTAGTCTATAACCGAGAAGGATGCATTCAATAAAAGCATGATATATATTACATAGAAGGAATATAACAATTCTTGATTAAGCTAATTTCTAGTAGACTTTTGCCAGTTACTCTAAAAACAAGTTACTGCATATAGTTTTGATGTATCATTAAAAAATTCCTAATTGGGCACAAATGTTGAGGCCAATTTGCATTGGAAACTTCAAAAATTAAATCTAGGACCATCCAAACTCTGATTTCAGCAAACTTATAGTCGAACTGAACGTCTCGAAAAGATGAACCCACGGCACCATCGTTCCAATACGAGCCAAAATGGGTCCAAATCAAGGCCCCGAAGAACATTTGGAAAGTTCAAACCATAAATTGGATAATCAAATAATTTTTAAATGTGACATGCTTATAATCTAATTGAGCAGCTCGACGAGACAAATCCAATGAGCACAAGATCATTAAATTCTGATATCATTAAAACACTAAAATACTCTATAAACTTTCAAGGATGATGTCGTCGGACTTACTCTTGGCCACCGATTGTCATCGGACTTCCGCCCGGTCACCAACTAAAGCCGAATTTACGCTCGGCTATCTAATATCGCCGAACTTTTGTCGGACTTCCGCCCGACCACTAACTGCCACTGGGCTTACATTCGGCCACTGATTGTTGCTGGATTTCCTCCTGACCACCACTCACTGACTACGATTCTTCTGACCTCCGTTGCAAGACAACGGTCTTTTTGACCTCCGTTGCCCATCGACTATGGTCCTTCCAACCTCCGTCATTTGACAACGATCTTTTTAACAATCGTCGTCCTCCAACTACGGTCCTTTCGACCTTCGTTGCTCAACTATGGTACTTTCGACCTCCATCACCGGACTACGATCTTTCTGACCACCTTGGTCCGCCGACTACGGTCTTTCCGACCTCCTTCACCTGAGAATGGTTTTTCTGACCTCCATAGCCCAATTATGATCTTTCCACCAACCTTCACCTGATTAAGGTCTTTTCGATCTTTGTCTCCTATCGACTACAGTCTCTCCGACCTCCGTCGCCCAACTACGGTCATTTCGACCACTTTCGCCCGACTACGGTCTTTTCGACCTCCGTTACTCGCCGACTACGGTTTCTTTGACTACCATCTACAGTCTATGGACTCCCTGACCGTCGTCACCCGACTATGGTCTTTCCTACCATCGTCTCCCACCGTACGGTCTTTTCTACCTCAGTTGCCTGATTACGGTCATTCCGACCACCGTCGCTTGACTATAGTCCTTCCGACCATCATTGCTCGACTACGGTTCTTCCGACCTACATCGCTCGCCTACTATGGTCTTGCCGACCAAACTAATATATTAATACTGATTATTCCAAATCCCACCATGTAATGCACTCTATATGATGTATATTTGCTACATCGAGCCAAGGCCTTACTCTCAAGAGAGTAAGGGCCTCATTTGTAATCAAATGTAAATACTAATGGATTCATTTAAACTGGGCAAGACCCCATGGTTTTTCCTTCTTTTCGGGCGTTTTGACATTAAACCTTTGGTGTCTCGTTTGAATGTTATACTCCAATTATTTATCTGTCTATGTGCTGGATCTTCATATAAAGCTAGGACATTAAACTTTATATTTCTCTACCTCCACGAATATTTTAGGACACAACAAGTATAATGCAAAAAATCAAGAGGTCCTTGCATTAATGTGATTGAGATATTTGCTTGTACTGAGATCACGGCATTGCAAGCCACGCATGAAGAATTTCCTGTTGTTAACTAGCAAGAGGGTGTGAAACTTCGTCTTTCCAAGAAGATGGGTGGGAGGGAGAATGAAGGACATAACCAATTTCCACCTCTTTACCTTTATGTTTAAGAAATAAAGTTCTGAACCTATATGTTTAAGAAAGAAATGGGTTACCAAATGCTAACTTGAAGCTGTTTTGCTATATTTTAATTTGCGTCGAGTGTACTTCAGGAGACTTCTTCACTTTGCAATGAGTTAAAATTATTTTTCCTTTTTTAGGTGAGTTAGGTTGAAAGAAAGAGTGTAGACTTTTGTTCTTGACTTCTTGTGTCCAAATTTGTATTTACGCAGCATAGAGTTAGAAAGATAGAATCTAAAAACCAAAAAAAGGGCACTTTAGTTTTGCATGCCTATTCCAAAACATGAAGGAATGTTGTATTTGCACCATTCATCTTTCAAATTTTCAAAGCCATATCAACTTAACATGCTAATGCATGTTATGGAATTCAACAGTGTATTTCTTTTTTTGTTTTTTTGTTTTTTTGAGAAAAAATCAAGTACATCTGTAGTTGGGTATGTAGATACAAATTACCTACTCTAGCTCAAAAACGTTCATTGTCACTCTTCATGCAGCTTTCTTTCCAAATGTGGACCAATCAAATGCAAGATACTCTTAACACCAAAAAACAAGGAGACATGGCTTTCCGCACGAAAGCTTTTGGAACTGCTATTGATAACTATACACAGGTTTTTTGCTCAACTCGTGCGAATTCATTACAACTAAAGACCTTTAAGTAGTGTAGCATATTGAATTGTTAAAATATCTCTATCACGTCTGCATCTATGGTTTGTGGTTGATATGTCTTACAACGACACCTATTTCCTTTAGTAGTTCAGTGCACCATTGTTTAAGATTTTGGAACCATTATTAAGTTCATTTTTGCAAGCACTGTTATTACTTAGATTTAATTATTCTTGATTACTACAGTAACAATTTCTAAAGGAATGTCAAATCCTAGATATTTAACATTCTACCAATGCTAGTTTGAGTGTGGCTTTCGACCATGCTGCACTCCTAGGTTCATAACCACTGGGGCATGACTATAAAAGCAACTAAAAAGTAATTTTCACGGGGCCAAAAAAAAAATTTTTCCTCTTAGATGCTACTTTTTCCATAATTATTAGCCAAAAACATAATTTTTACCCTTGATTGATGTAGCTTTTTTCATTATTAATCTTATGACTAGAGGATATGATAGGAAACACTTGTATATCTCAAGTATTTCCTGTGAAAACAGCAAAAAACTCTTCCAAATTTCAATGAAAATCAGGGGAAATAATAGATTTTATTGCAAGAAATCAACTACTGGAAAAAAACAAGATACAAGTGATCCTTTATTTGAGAGGGATAAATCTAGAGCCCAAAAACTAAACCCAAGAGATCCCAAAATCAGCCAAATTCAAGATGCTATAATCCTAGGAAAACAAAGTATTTCATGAATACAAATCAAAAGGAAATCCCTAAACAGTCCCTACATTCAAAATTCCATCCCAAATCCCTCAAAAATCCTTCCAAATGTGCTCCCGTGAACCTAACGGCTTGATCGGCCTCCATGGGAGAGGCGGAGAGGTTCCACCTCTATTTGCCTGGGCCGGTCCCTTGTGGACTGGCTTGACCGGTCCAATGGACCAGTCTAACAGGACCAAAGGAGCAAAATGCATGGTAAGTAATTATCCTAGTTATTGTTAAGAAAATACTAACGAGAAGACATTGAATCCAAAAAAAAAAAACTCTCCTTCTCCGAGACTCAGTTTTCTCTTTAAAAGATCCAACTCTACCTCTGAATGAAAGCGCCTATGACCACCATATTTATTTTGTTTTTGTTTCTTTTTATCTTCTAAATGCTTCGTGTACAGAAATGAAATATACTAAATCTAATTTATTTTCTAGTTTATCGAGTGTGGAACAATGATTTCTCCAACTGTATATGCTCGGCGATGCATGTCCTACCTGATGAACGATATGCCTCAAGAAGCTCTGGGAGATGCTATGCAGGCTCATGCAATATCACCTGACTGGCATATCGCTTATTATCTGCAGGCTGCTGCTCTCTTCACACTTGGAATGGATAACGACGCTGAAGATTCCCTTAAGGATGCAATCAATTTGGAACCAAAATGGAAATTTCGAAGCTAAGTTTGTATAGCATTAATGTTTTGGTTTGCATTCTTATTTTGTTTATGTTTTTGGCGTTCCATCTTGTATCTATATATCTCATTGTTTTGTCAAAATTTGCCTAGTCTGATCTGTAACTACCAAAGTAAGAAATGTGTTTTGGAGTTCCTATATCTATAAGCTTTTGATTTACAACTCGTTTGTTGCTTTAGGTTGCTTTTGGAAATTCAAATATTTAATCTCATAAATGATGGCTTAATCTTGATTTTTTTAGTTAATTTAAATCTTATTCATATGCCTTTGAATTATTGACTCTCTTCTAATAATATGATTTATCGTTCGCTCTCAACAAAATGAAAATTTGTATCAAGTTTGAGTCCTATTATCGAGAGATTATTTTGTGTGGAAACCGAATGCAGCTCTACATTTGGATACCAATTAGAATGAGCCACATCAGCGATACCGAGCCGCGGTACTACGGTATCAAGCCCCGGGCTTAAGTATTCGAACAAGATTCGACTTTCACATAGAATAATTTTTCCCTGTCATCACCATTTCACGATTGCCTTAATTTGAATATTCTAAGATTTTTTAGAATTATCCCAAACAACTTAACAACCAATATTTTTTTTTTCTATCAATTTTATTACATTTGTGACACTAGAGCATTGAAATGATATAATATATTCATTGATAAAAATTTTTATGATAAGGTTGCGAGAAATCCCTTGCAACAACGTTTACTCCATCTTCAACATGCTTCCTCATGTAAATATTGCTAAGAAACTACCTTCCTGATGACAACTACAACCTTCTTGACCCCACCTTTAACTCATTAAAAAACAAAAAGGTCAACAAGAATATCCTCACATAATTTACATTAAGATGAATTTAAATATCTTTAAATTTGCACTAAGATTAGTACTTTAATTCATTCACCAATTAAATAGTTATAATAACCATTCAACCTGTAAATATTCCCAAAAATGTAGACAACAAAATTAAACATAAAATTGTTTTAAGCTGCTGTTCCCTATTACAAGAAATACGAAAAACTATTACAAGAAGTTTTGTTTCAAGTCCCCGGCCTCACATTGGTTGCTGACCGGAACCAAGCAGCTGCCCTACTAAGTTAGTCACCTGGAAGAAAAAAGATAAAAAAGAATAAGGAAAAGAACAATGGTTTCTAGAGCACTAGAGCTTTATTGCTACTTGGTGCAAGAGCTAACCTAAAGATACAGTACAATTCATTCATATTAAAGGCAAATTAATATATAAAAAAAATGATTAAAAAAACTCGCCTGCCAGTATTTTGAAACACAGCGATCAATGCAACTATTCTCACCCATGTTGAGTTCAGACTCCTTGTACCTGAGGAAAAGAAAGGGAGAAGATCCGCAACTATTTAAAAGGACATAATGAAGAATTTATGTACACAACTCTCCTTGGCCTATTGGTTGAGAGCTTAGGCTTCCAACTAAGAGGTCCAGGGTTCGAGTCTATGTGTATGCGTTGTGTGTGTGAGTTTGCCTTAAATGGCCTAAATATCCCCCAAAAAAAAAAAGAATTTATGTAGCCAACCCTACATAATAGAATAAATATTTGATGTTATTATTATTGTAACCTTAACTCAACAAGTTATATAATCATCTATATCGCTTATATTTTCGTAATGAACAAAATAAGACCACATCCCTTAATTAAAAAAATATATCCATTAAATTTAACTATAACATACCAAAATAAATAAAATGCAATTCACCGAGAAGAAAAATAAAAATAAAATTCAAATAATATAAAATTAGATAAATATTTGAAGGCAATTTTTCACCTAATAAAAAGATTGATTTGAAAAACATATAAAATTATAAAAATTGTTTCTTAGATAAAGCCTGCTATCAAACAGCACCTAAACCTACATAAAAATGTCCATAACTTTCAAACTAAATCTCAGACAAAATCTGCAAAAAACAAAACCAATCAAAGAACATGGCTGAATTTCTATAACACTGAGAAAATGACCAGCAATGGAGATCTAGGTTGCAGGTCTTGCGGGGGAAAATGGCCAGATTTTCTAGCCATTGCCAACGAAGATTGTAGATCAGTGTTGCAGAAAGATCATGATCTTCTTATGGAAGGTTAAGTATGAGATGGCAAGGAGGATGCATGTAGGCTAGGAAGTAAGAATGTGGGTCGCAATAAGAGCACATTCCTGCGGAGGAGAACGCCCGCATTAGCAAATGCAAATGAGAGAGAGCAGGGGTGGTTCTCGCAAGGAAGGGGAAAAGTTTCAAGCCACAAAGAGCTTAATTCACAAGCCAAAAAAAACTCAACTTTTGAGAATTTTTAAGTACATAAAATATTACCTTGCACTTATTTTGCTTTGTGCCAAACAACTAAAATCTTAAAACCCATACATTTATTCTACTAACTCTAGGCTCTCAATATTCTATTAATTTTTACTTATTTTATTGGCACTATGTTCTCACTAAAAAAACATACAACAGTACACCTCATTCTGCATACTCATCTCCATTATCAATATGAAAGATATAAACTCAATATTGATCCTTAAATCTTAATGTAATTCGACTATAATTAGAGAACCTATGATCACTTCATCATGATCTCTAATACTAGTCAATGTCGGTTTAGCGTAACACCATGAACTTTATACCAGAAATGATAATGAGGACATTAATGGACTTTGTTTCGAAAATAAGGCAACCCATAAAAATACATTTCATAAAATTGAAGAGCTTATAGGACTCAATATTCTTAATAATAATGATCATAACAGCTCTGGGAAGTTTTTATTTTTCAATATATGGTCATCTAGAATTAAACCATGATACTACTTTACTATATTACAAATATGAAGTTTTACTGAAGTATAGCACAGTGCTCCTCTATGTAAAGTATGCTTTCAGGCAGCACTTCCAAAAGCTCCATAGTTATTGGCACAACATTTTACAAATATTTCAGTAGTAGAATGGCCAACCGTTAAATGCCAGTATAGCATACAGCTCGATTGAGAATTTTGAAGTACATAAAAATATAATACATAATTTTGGACTTCACAAGCACACAATAAATGTGCGACACAATAAATGCTCAAAAGTTGGATTTAGGCTTCGTTTGGGACGACTTTTTTATTGTTTCTTAAAACAGAGTTTTAGTACAAAAAATTTAATATAAATGAATATTTCATCATCATTAGCTTCATCCTAATTATTTTGGATGAGCTATATGAATCCTCATTTTTCATTGTTCCTGCCAAGTTAATTCTCAAATACACTTCCTATTAATTTTCCTCATTAATTTCTTGACACTAATTTTATCTACTCGGCTATTGCGTTTATCTTCTATCCTGTTTTTATGTTCAAACCATCTAGTTCTATATTCAACTAGCACAACTTTAATAAATCTCACTTCAATTGTTCCTTAAATATAATCATTCCTTAATTTATCCTTTCCAGCTTTGCCATGCATCAAGCTCAACTTAGTTATTAATGACTTGTTTACTATCAAAATTCAGATCCATACAACATTGTTAGCCTAATTGTAATTTTATTTAATTTACCCTTAATTCTTCATAATATCCCCTCATTAAATAAATTTCTAAGAACCTTCTCTATTTTAATCACCTTGCCTTAACTTCATAAACTATATCCCCATTTATATTCACATTATTATGTATAATAAACTTTGATACTTAAACCTATGACATTAATCCCTTTATCTTCTACTAATATATTTATTTATATTGCACAAATTAAAATTACATATTATATATTCAATCATCACTCTAATATTCTAAACACTCTATACAACAACAACAAGCCTTTATCCCACTATGTGGTGTCAGCTACATAAATCCTTTTTCTCCATTATAACCTGTTAAGGATCAAATTCTCATCTAAATCTAATAAAGAAAGGTCATTACACTCCATATATTTAGTTTTAGATCTATTCAAACGAAAGTCTTTAGACTCTAAGGTTGACCTCCATAATTCTAAACGTTATATTCCAACCATTTTCTTCATTATTTAAAATTGTTAACATATTTTAGTAGATATGTCACCGATTAGAGCATTTTAAATTGTAGAAGTAAAATCCAATATATCACAAGTACAAAATAATTGTGTTAGGCCTAAACTGAGAAAGTATAAAAAAAAACATACCTTTTTTCAACACACTTATTGAAACATGTATGAGTAAGCCTGCATTAAACAGCAAGAAATGATCAATCCAAGTTGCTCCATGATGTCATTTAAAATGCACAGTTCTATCAAATAAAATCAAATGCTTAATTTCTTTTATCCATCTTGTAAAGAGTGGGGATCAGGTATTTGGGAATGAAATTTGGCTTAAAAATGGATATGGATCACTATAACCAAGAAGTCACTAGGCATGGCAAGTACTTTGAGACAAAATTGAATTTACCAAATAAGAAGTGCATAGATTTGTTATCTTTTCCTTTTCTAATAACACCACACCCGGTGAAACAAAGTTGCACGCAAAAATAAGGGGCCTTGTCATACAAAATCTTATAATATGAACAATATGGATTACGCAGTGCAGCTAGCAAATATTGTTCCAACTTTGGATGAATTTTGGATGGAATTGGCAAACTTCAACATGAAGCTTGAAATGACAGGTTTAATAAAAATATGCATCTCAAAGATTGTCTGAACTAGTAACCATAGGTGAAATTTTTTGACAATATATTGGTTTTCATAGGCTGTAAAACACTCAATTGGTGCCGCATAAATTCAAAGGAAATGTAAATAAACGGTTCAAAGAAATCAAATCTGGATACAATGGGCTAGGAAGCTCTAACAATGTTTCATGCCGTATGCTAATGAAATGTGAGAGAAAAGTTTTTACCCAAGAATTACCAACCTCAATTATATATGCAATATCTATGTTTCATGCCGTATGCTAAGGAAATGTGAGAGAAAATATTTTACCCAATAATTACCAACCTCAATTATATATGCAATATCTCGCCTATATTCAAATCATGTGCCGAAATTCAATGATTGCCATATTGATCTCAAATCTCAATTTTTACCTTTTGTCTCATCACCCACATGGTATGAAAACTTCAGAGAGCTTAGAAGCATATGAGGATCATCAAATCTTAATCAGGATTTAAATAAAAATAAAATAAAAAAGGCTTATCCTTCAAAGAAACCCTGATGTAATGGTGTGTCTTATTTAGCATGAGCCAAAGAAGAGAAGGGAGAGTGAAAGAAATTAAAGTGCATTTGCACCAACATGCACTGAGATCCCATCTAAGCAGAAGGAATTCATAAATGACAGGCAAAAAAAAAAGGCAACAACAAGCGAACGTCTTACTTGTTAAAGAGCTCTACCCTGTATTCCATCTCTTTCTCCGCCATCCCAAAGATCTGCACAGTAGAGAGTAAATCGGCATAGCATTTTACAGGAGACATGCTATTCTAACTCGCATATATCATGAAGAAGCAAACCACGACATTAATGATTGCAATCAAAGATTGCGAAGGAAAAAAAAAGTCCATAAAATCTACAGTACGTAGAGGCAACACAAATCGACCAAAAAACCCTTCAAGTCGGTCAACGCAATGAACCCCCATAATATTCGTCGAAAAATCAAAACTTTCATAATTTTAACACCAAAACATTCTACAATACTACCGGCGACAGCGATAAAATTAAGAAAAAAACTTCAAAAATAAAAAATTTCCAGATTTGTTTTCTTCAATGAACCATTTTGTTTAATGAAACATAGACAAGCAGTAGAAGCAAACCTGTTCTTTTTCCATTGTAGATGTAGGTTTGGCAGCCATGAGAAGAGCTCGAAAAATAACTGCACGGCGCGTCGGGGAAGAGCGGACGAACACGAAAAAACCTAGACTTGCCTCCAACACAAATTTGCCACGAAAGATTAGGAATCGTACTGCGATGTTGCCGTTCGGGTCTGCGGCTTGGGTTTTGCGCTTAGCAGTTAGTCCGATACCATAACCTTGGAACTGAAATATGGTTATTTATTTGATTTGGCTCGAATTTAACTATAAAATTCATCTGAAAGCCAAATCCGAACGTATTAACAAACTTCAAAACTAGATTAAATAAAACTTTAATAAGATATGGTCAAACAGCAGAAGAGGAATATTGATGCCAACTGAAATAAAACTACAATTTGCTATTTGATTTTAAATTCTATTAGAAAAAAATATAAATTTTGTTATTTAAAAAATCATCTAAAATTAACAGATAAAACACAAAAAATTTAAAAATTTCAATGCATTAGATATTCATAATTTTCATTTACATTATATATGTTAACTTAATATTAATTTATTTTGTTGGTTAAAATATCATTCTTGAAATAATAAATTAATCCATGATTAATGGGTACTCAACAGAGCCCTGCATTGGATACCCATACCCCAATCCACCCACATACCCAACATTCATGGCTTCATGGGTGGTTATGGGTGAGTACTCAACATCGGGGGTAAACTGATTTTCATTTGCAATCACTGTATGAAATATATTGTTGCAATTCTCACCACGCAGTACGCAACAATGAAACACAATCATCAATTCGTGGTGGACTTCATTTAAAAAAGCCTGGAATGTGGATGGATATCGGCATATACTGCATCCCAAAAGTCGCCATAGTTAAGCGTGGGTGGGTGAAGCCCACCCGCGCAGAGTGTGGGTGTCCAATGGGTACTAGGACCTCATGTAGGGCTTTGATACTCAACTTGGATTTGAATAAGAATTGAAATTTGTGTTAGACCCAAATTACAGGATTGTGTTTCAAATTATATCAGCATAGAATTAAACCTATGCAATGGAGTCGAACTATAGAAAGGTTTCTCTACTCACATAATAATCTAAAAGGATTGGTTGGACCCATATTTCTTACGATAGATTTAGTTGCAAAAATATATCAAATAAAATTTTTTAAACTATTATTTTAACAAATAACAAAATTAAAATAATAAAATATGTCTTTTAAAATTAAATAATGAATTATGAATGCAAACTAGATATGAGAGAGCCAGGAATTTAATGTAGTGCCCCTAGCCGATTAATAAACCAAAGACTAATACATCTAGTTAATACATAATCAAAGCTCCTTGAGTTATTGGTGGAATAGTCAACTTGATCATTGCAACCTGACTCCCAAGAAGTTAAGATATCTGATCATAATAGAAGTCTCTCATGACAGTCAGAGTCCTGCAATGGATACCCATATCCCCACCCACCCACGTACCCAACGTCCATGGCCCCGTGGGTGATTATGGGTGCCAATTTTTATTGCTAATCACAGTCTGCATTATATTATCTCAATCCTCACTACGTAGTGCATAACACTACACCGCAGTCATCAGTCTATGATGGACTGCATTTAAAAATGCCTCGAATGTGGGTGGGCATTGACGGATACGACATCCCAAAAGTCACCATAGGTGTGCATGGGTGGGTGAAGCCCGCCCGCGCAGAATGTTGGTATCCAATGGTACTCATCCAAAATCCCATGTAGAGCGCTAGCTTTGATGACGGCTTAATATCTCTCCAATTATCTCCAATTATTGGGAATTTTGTGACCTTATGATCATGTCGGCTAACATTCCTCCTAATCTAGATAAAATCTTGTCATATCTTGAAGCTTTATCACCTTAATGAATATAGAGGAAAGTGAGCTTTAAGACAGCTTTGTAAGCCAAGAATGCTTGGATCATCTATGTTGATGGTGCTTCCAAAGAGAACAACAAGAAAGTTTGCGTCATTTTAACTAACCTCTAAGATGTCATCAGCGCTTGTGCAATATAAATTTGATATTCTAAACCAATAACAATCAAGTTGAGTATAAAGTTGTACTAACCATACTGAGATCAGCAATCAAATTGGAGGAGAAGAAGGCTTCGTTTGGTACGGCTTTCTAAATTTTTTGTACTACAAAACTGCTTTAAGATGCAGTTCAAAATAAAACCGAAGTTTATCCTCCATGATTAATCTCAGTTGGTCATAAATTAGACTGTCAAAACTTACAAAAAATGAGGCCTGCTCCTAAAGGAGATTGCAATGTTAGAGCATTTTAAAGCATAGTGTATGTTGTGGATTGAAAATTAACTTGTCAACCTGATAGCAAAATACAACAACTAGCATACAACATCAATGGGCTAGTAGCCATACAAATCAACGAGGCACCACGTTGGAAAGACATGATAAAGCTTTCCATGACCGATGGTCAAGGAGCTAAGGGACTTAGGTAACGAGCTGCTAAGTATTATTACATCTCTTACAATGTTCTTTCAAGAAAAAAAAAATTGTGGAGAATTTTTTTTTAACTGGCTCTCCATGTGTAATGAACGGTATGAATTTGTTGCATATCAATCCTATGAATTCGATAGCAAGATATTAGTGACCGTTAATTATTTTCTAAAGCGAGCACTTATTAAAGGTTTATTATATAAACATCAAATAATGAGAGTACATTAATATATTATAAGGATATATTATACAACATATCAAGAAGAACCAAACAGTTTATCTTCACAGCTGCTACCATCAGAAGTTTTCTTCAATCCATCTACTATTTGCAGTTTATTTCACGAATCATACTCCATTAAACCCTTTTAAGAAAGCATTACTAAGTTGTTTAGGCTTATAAGCCTGATGGAAGATAGGAGAACAAGAGAAATGCTGAGGAATTGAAATGAATACAAATTTTACTAAGGCTTCATTTGGGACGGCTTTCTTCTGCTTCATAAAGTAACATTTTAGTACAAATTTTTTATAAAAAGCTATTTTAAAAAGCAGTAAGAAAGCCGTCCCGAACGAAGCCTAAGTTGTTTACACCTACAACAGCATTTACTGGTGAAAAACAGCACAATTAAGCCAAACATGTAAGATAGAAAACCAGACCACAATTTGGATGAGAATATTCTGTGATGGTGCCTGCTTGCAAGCAACTACAGCTAATCACGGAGCATCTCTAAAGCCTCTCCTATCATCCACAAGACCAGAAAATCACTTAGAGAAAATCACTTATATAAACATTACAAGGTTCACAAACAAAGCATAAACACTCAATATTTGATTTTGCAAGCTAGCAGCAGGCATTTCAGATTACAGCTTCACGCAGCAAACTCCTTTGCAATTCCTATAGACTTAAGTAGCGGCCATTGCAGGAGTTCTTTGGTTTGTTTCTCACAGTAGTGGTGAGAAATTCAGCTAAACGTTATATAGACTTCATTTACCTTGCGGATGGATGGAACCTCCAATCTGGCTTTTGAAAGATCCTCATGTTGGCATATTGAAATGAAAAAGCCAAGAGATGACAAAGGCAAATACCATACAAGCAAGAAGGAAGTTGAGGAAGCGATGACCTTGCCAAAAGCTTCGTGTTTCAGTCTGCACCACCGGTGGTGCAGAGTTATTGTTTGATTCATTCCAGCTCTCGATGAACTCGGTTTCGCCACTTCCAACCACGTTCTTCGCAGTTGCGCCGCAGATTTCGCAGGTCCTGTAACGAGGCACAGAATTGACTGTAAAATATTTGACAAAAGTTGGGTATTATGTGAAATCAGTCAAACAATAAATTGATCAGTAAAATATGCACATTACAAAAAGCAGTTCTCATGAGGAATAAAAGAAACAGCCGCGTCAGTGCAGAAACAGTTATGCTAACCAGCACTTGTAACCAGTGATGTTTCTTCCACATAAAGAAGATACATTACTTTGAATGCTCTATAGAAACCTTCATACGAAACCCAAAAAAAAAAAAAAACAAATATTGAAATAGTTTTGGAAGATCAACACCTTGTTGGGAATATATATACACGAGCAAAGTACAACAACAACCTAACCCTTTGTCCCACTACGTGGGGTCGGTTATATGAATCCTGTTTCTCTAAAGGATTCATGTCATGATTATTCAACAAATTTTATGCTAGCTGTCGACCATCTAACGCAACCCTCAACTTTTCTCATTCAAGACTTCGGACCTGACAACAATAATGTTATACACGAGCAAAGTATTATTCAGGACTGTCTAACACAAGCCCAATGCAAGAAAAAATGCCTCCAAACCCACAACAATATGAAAAATCCAATACAATAAGCTCTTTAAGTATTTTATTTATAGAAGTGAAAATTCAAAAGAAAATTTGGTTCTAATTTAAATTTGAAGTTCATCAATAATAACACAATTGTAATAAACTTTTGGGTTTAAAACTATCGAAATATATAATTAAAATAAATTGATATAAATATATAAACTATCAAAACTATCTGTAATTATATTTTAAATTAAAATAATAACCAAAATCCATGTTTTACATCTAATTGTCATTGAGATCTTCATAGATCTGAAAAATCTATTTATTCAACAGTATTGTTTTATCCTTTGCTAGCTTTAATTTATAACTAAGTGTCATTATTGTTAGCTTGTGCAATCAACATCTCACCTTTGGTTATGTTTCAACTGCCAAATATTCTAAGTCGAATTATATTTTTCTTCAACAACCTATCCAAAGGGGATCAGATTCCTATATAAGCCTAGAATGTCTTACATTTTGAAGCTTCCACATAATCTAACTAATAAATTTTGATTTGACTACCACCAACACACATAACTTAACAACATCATTAGAAAAATAAAGCTTATATAGAATAATTAGAGATAACTCTTAATATGAAGTAGAGTGACAATGTGAAAAGACATGTTTAAGTCTATGGTTTAGGATCATATGTGTCTATCAACAGAAGGATTAATACATCTTGAATCTCTTCAATGGCATCTTTCACAAACTCTTTTGGTCAATTTGTTTATATTTTTCTTTTGTAGGTTTTTTATTTCCAAGTAGCCAATCTTTCAAAATTGCCAATATGTTAGCCTTGATCTAACGCCCTCTTTGGTTGTTATTTTACATTTTCTTAGAGATTTGGATCTCACATTGTTTTACCATTTTATAGTTCTTTCTCTATTTTCAAAATGAACATAATAAAGTAATAATTTATCAAATTTTACTTCTTATTTTATTTTCATCAATTCTCATTATAATGTATTTATCAAAAACTGCTTCAGAGAGTTCAACAAAATTGTCCTTTGCATAACATCATATGATGTTTATTTTTATGTTGAATTAGCAAATTATATTCATGAAATGAATCCTAACGGATTAAAATAGAGTGCAAAATACTGAATTAAAATTTTGAAAAGAGAGTAGATTTAGCTTGAAATTAGATGAGATAGATATTTAGCACTACAAACAAGAGAATAACTTAGGAGGAAAATAAATAAATAAATAAAGTTGAGGTTTATAATTGAAAAATATTACAAACACTAAGAAAACTTGTCACTTTATATTTTATACATTTTTATGTTTCATATATATGCTAATTTATTTCTTCTATTAACTTTTAATATATTATTTGGTAATTATATAAAAAAATCCTCATTTTGACTTCACCCAATTTTCTAATGTTGAGGCTTACGCCTCACCTCACGAACGAAAAAATGCCTCAATACCCAATTGCGTAATTTTAAACATGGCAAGATAAAGAACAAACTAAAACAATAGGCTCCTTTCAATATGATATTTATGCAAGATAAGGCGGTGAAAATTCTAAAGAAACTCAAATTCAAATTTAAATTCTTGCTCATCCGGATAACGGAAATACAAAAAAAATTTGAACCCAAAATCATCCATGAAGATAATTTACATAAATACATTTATGCACAAAACCACTATTTTAAATGGTGTTTATCCGATAGAATAAAAATTAGCTCCAGTAAATCACACACTTAACAATCTAATGACATCAGAATTATCCTATTGAACTGTAGCTCTGTAAGTTTATGATATATAGTTAACCTCTCCGTATTATTATGTAAGCCCACAATAAGAGATTAGAATGGATTTGAATGTATTTCAAAATTTTTTCTAGAGGTTTCAATTAATTTCTTGATGATAACTTACAGTTGAGGGAGCAAGGAAGAGCAAAAAGAAAGAAAAATGGGGTAATCTAATTTCTGATTAATTTCAATAAGCTTCTTAACCGGCAAATAAAAAAGGGATAATTTTCATCCAAACCTAAACAAACTCTACCAACAAAAAGAAAACCCTATTTACAAATAACCAACTAGATAAGTTCAAACTAAACAAATAATCCCGCCAGAATTATCCTAATTTAAATTTAAATTCAAACACAAAATTATCCAATTAAGTTTAAGAAAACTCAAATTCATCATTATCCAACTGTAATATGAAATTTAATCAAATGATTCAACTTTCATAATTTTAAGCTCTCTCATATGATGTCAAATTAAAGATTTGATCATGCTAACAAACCCCCAACAACATTCGCTTCAATCTCAACATTGTAATATGAGAACCAATATTATAAGCAATTTTTAGGAGAAATCATACTGTTAATACTTCAATAACACAATTTTTATGTATTTCCACAATTTGATGCCCAGATTATGATCATAGTTGATAGATTGATCGCACTAAAACTAATCCCTAGATCATGGGTCCTATTTTTAGGAGGAATGGAAAATTTATCATATATGAAATCATAACTTCAGGTCAGAAAAGGCTAATTTTTCATCCTCCCAACTATAACACATTATTATTTATATGTCACCAAAATTTTTTTTGTTTGATCAAGCACGAATCTTGAGGCATATTCAATTTAATTCGGAACAATCTCCAATTTCAGCAAACTTATAGTCAAATTAATCGCCTCAATAATATGAACCCAACGATACCAAAATCGATATGATCTGAGCCCAAAGGAGCTCATATCAAGAGCTTAAAGTATATTGGGAAGTTTAAAATATTAATTGGATAACCAAATGATATCAAAATATGATATGCTTATAATCGAATCGAGCAGCTCAACGAGATGAATCCAACAAGCCCAAGATCACTTAATTTGGACATTATTAAGGAAATCAAATGCTGAATGAACACCCTATAAACGAGGGAATCAATAAGGAATTTGCTCTGGATCTTCTCCAAATCTACGAGGAACGTCATTATCAAAATCTATAAAAAGATCTCACTCTCAACATGAGGCGGGACCTTTTGCTAGATATTAGGTGAACTTCCATCGACTGACTAACAACGGACCTCTGCCCGATCACCGATCGTCATCAAACCACCGCTAGACTTCCACCCGACAACATACCATAGTCGGACCTCTACCAAGCCGCCGACTTTCGTTGGACCGCCATCGAATGTCTGCCGCATGATCTCCGTGAAAGTTCAATGGACACTATTCACCGCCATTTCCAACCACCCCCACCCCCATCTAATGAATGATCACCCTACTTCTAGATTGCTTGTTTGGTTGGAGTCTTTGTTTTAAATCTATGTTGTAGTCTTTGTTGTAGTTGTTCCTTTTGTTTTTCTCCTTTTTGGTGATGTCAAAAGGTGGAGTACATGGTTGGTTGTATTTTGTAATTCTCTCTTTAATCTATTTTTTTAGCTTCTATATTGTTTGTGTGTTCGTTTGTGTTCACAACTCAAAATGAAACAAAACAAAAAAAATGAAATAAAAAAGCAAAAAATAAACACATAAATTTACTTTCCTTTATTTTTTGAAGTATATCATCTACTGAGGGTGAGATTAGGAGAAAACATAAGTTTCTTGCAATTTGAACCAAAATGTTTGTCATCATAAAAAAAGGATAGATTGTTGCAATCCGGGATCATGAACTTATGATTTTGATGATAACATACAATGAAGAAATTATTTAGAGTGAAATTCAAATTCTATTATATTCCTTGGAATAATTACATATATATAAATTCTAGGAGAATAAACAAAAAAAAAGGAAAAATATTTAATCTGATTAATAATAATAATCATATCCCACGGATCTCTAACTGTAGCCCTTGGATTACTACCCACGGATCTCCAACTACAGCCCTCACATTGATGCCCACGGATTGCTGAAGGGACCTCCCATTAGCTGCATTATTCAACAACTTCTTATCTAAATCTATTCAAACTCAACTAATAAATAAAAATCCAACTACAAATAACCATGAGTTCAAACTAAACAATAATTCTTACAGAAATTATCCAAACTTATCCAAAAAAAAAGTTTTTAAAATTGAAATTATCATTATTCTACTGCAATAAAATATTTGATCTAATGGTCTTGTTTTCAGTGCCATGATGTTAATAGAATGATATCGGATTAATGATCCAATCGCACCAATGAACTATTAATGACTTCCTTTTTAATCTCAATATTGTTATCTAAAAATCATCACCGCCAATAATTTTTCTAGAGAAGTCAAACAAAACCTAAATGAACATGATCTTTTTAATCTTTACATGATTTTAAGCTCAAATAGTGAACATATATGATCTAATTAATCACCAACTATATCTGATCCCATAATAATTTAACTAGAAATCTGTAAAAAAATATACCCCCATGATTTATTTTGAAATGCATCCTTAGAATGAAATAGCTCCAACAAAGAACTAGAACAAATCAAAAGTAAAATTACAATAGACTAAAAACTAGAAATCCATTGCAATATAAGGGACTGCCAAAATCAGCATTCCAATCAATGTGAATTCTAATAAGAGGTTGATGTGTGCATCCTCAACAATTTGAACCTTTAACTTCTAGATACAACATAAACATTGTTTTAGGTACACCCTTTTTATTTTTAAATAAAATTTAGCTTATACATTATGAAGTGCCTAACTACAAGATGTCCCTACAACAACCAACCATGCTCTTATAGTAGCCAAACATGAAGCATCACTTATACACCTCAGTAACTGAATAATAAATGATAGAACAGTAATTTGCCTTCATCATTTTAAGACTGATATATAATCTCCACTTTATTTTGAAAGAATGACAAGTTTGAAATTTAAACTTCCCACTTAACGTGACACTTGTTGATTGATAGCTTAAAATACTTCAAAACATTCTATGGTAATGATTTTTAATGGAAATACAAATACAAGATATAAACAGATGTATTTGGAGGTAAAGATAAAATCTTCATGAAGACTGATTTAGGTTTCAACAAACATGATTTATTTTTTTTAAGTTGGTTTCTGTAGACTTCAAAATAAGGAGGGTTATCTTAATAAGATACAGCAAATAAACCAAAACATATTGGAAACTATCATAACAACCAAAAGAAGATATTGAAGTAATGTCAAAAACCTGAACAAATTGTCCTTTTAATAAAGCACTCTATGTCAAAACTCTCAAAAAATATCTACCATCCCTGTGAAATTAGATCGCTTCGGTAAAATACTAATTGGGGCTTTCACAAATGAAGTGCACTTCTACTTGCATAATAGCTCATTATCAACAAAAGCTGAAATGCAATTCCTATTAACTACTACAGTAACAAATTATTAATGATTATGAGCATCTGAAAATCCATTCTTACCAGGTCAGCATTAGTAAGTTTCTAAAACAATGCAACCTATAATCAGGTTCTAAACAGGAACCAGAAGAGATGCGGTTGAATTGCCTCTATTTTTAGCTTAGGCAAAAGTTCCTTAAATATCAGTTAGGATCACCAAATGTCCATACACAATTTTAACCATAACAGCATGAATCGAATATAAAATGAGAAAAAAAACACTAAAAAAAGTCATAAGAACTTTTCCACAGACAACTTGCAAAGACTAAAAAAAAGAAACTATTCTAAGCTGGTTACCGTCCATGCAATCATTTCTAAAACTACCATTCAGTAACTCATTTTTCCCAAAGGAAAACATTCCTGATGAATTCAACATACAATCATACATTATGCACAAAATATTGTTTGGTTGGAGAGATTTTGAATGCATTGCATTCCAAAAGCAGTGGTTTTAAAAATTCAAGTGTTTGGTTGGCTGAAAAATTAAATCCAATGTATTTCTTGGATGAACTTGAAAATTATTCTTAGTTCATTTTTGGCCATTCTGAAATCACTTGAATAAAACTAAAATAAAATACAGCACAAGCTGACCCCAAATAGCTCCCATTGCAACCCTTTCTTCTCTATACACCTTCGATCCCATAGATGCCTTCCCCAAGCGAGATCCCATCACAATATCCTCATATCATTTACATGCCGCCAATCTAATCATACCTCCCCCAGTAATCTTTTGTCACAATTCCGTTACACAATGTCAATCTTGTCGATTACTACCCCTAGCGAGGTCTCTTTATGATTCCTTAATGTTATCGATCCCATCGCAATTCCTACACGCAAGCAAACCCATGACCTCCCTCAACACTACGAACTTCCCAGCACAAGCACATGATAGATTGGTTGCTTCTTCGAAGGTCCATCTCCTTCTGCTTCTATTTTATTCAAACTATATTTTAATTCATCCATTAAAAAAAAATATGACACCATTGCGACGCCATGACTCTGCTCATGAAACTGCCTCCCTCTGCCTCTATCACGCCTCCCTCCCTAAGCATGCCATAGGTTTATTTTTATTATTTTTTATTAGTTCCACTTAAACACAAAAAAGAATATCCCATGAATTCAAAATGCATTGAATTTACTTTGCATTGTATTCAAAATTCCCCTAAATTCCTAATTCAAGCAATCAAACGGGCCCTTAGAAAATAAAGGTACGGTAATTTTATTGTTTCATACATGAGTTGATAACTAAGAGGCAACAAACTTAACAACATTATCTAAAAAGATAACCAAAACAAGGACTAAGTAAAAATAATAATTAATAGAGTATATGCCCCTATACTCTTACTTTCGTGCCATTCTCCGCCACACTAGGAAATCCTAACATGAAGTAAATGTCAGAACAATATGAAAGATGAACATGTCCTTGTGTGATGCATATATAAAGATAAGGACTTCAAACAAAAAATGGAGAGTTTACTTAACTGCAGATAAATATGCAATTCAAGAGAGTATGAGTTTATGCACTTATTAAATTACTGCCTATTTAAAAAGCCAGAAGTAAAAATGTTGATAAGCTAATTTCATATGGTTTTGATTGTCATAATCATTTACCTTTTAGTGGATGCTGAAGTCACTAATGCCTTCTTTTAATAAAAGTAAATAAATGCTGCAATTTTCATGAAAAACAAGGTTTATGAAACATATCATCTTTATAAAAAAACATATGCCATCTCTCAACAGAAAGCAACAACAACATCCACTCCAAATCAGAAAAGAAACAACAAATAGAAATTCCTAGGGATTATAACTGAAAGCCTGAATATTGAAGTAATTTCCTTTAAACATAGAAGCTTATCTTTACCTATAACCATGTTAATAGCACCATATCTAAACTGTTTGCATGGATTGGTGAGATCAGGCCAACAAATAGCAACTTGGGTATTTGAAAAGGAAGTGGTGATTTGATTTAAAACCATTCAATTTGCTAGAAGAATAATGCAATGCAAAGTGAACACTTGCAAAATACATCAATAAAATTTGACACATTACCTTGGCCAAGAAAATGAACTATACCGTAAAGTAGTTTTGCTTCATTCATAGTTTGCTTTGAACAAAATAAAATAAGTTATTTGGCACGTAAGCAATTAACATCAAAATAAACAACCACTTAATCATATGAGAAATGCATTTGTGGGATGAATCACAAGACATGTCGCAATAAGTACAATGATTGAAAAATATCTAAATAATTTTCACACGTCCGAAAAGCTATTCCACCTTTTTGAGATTTAAATGTTTTTCTACACGCAATAAGTTTACTTATGTTTTTATAAGGTGTTTTGCATTATATGTTAACCACAACTTATTGAACTACAAATATGGGCTAAAGAATTGGCATATATATGACCTTAAAATATTATGTTCAAACTTGCATACCATGATCAACTTTGTGCTCGTCACACCCCTTATGCAAAAGCTAGCTTTGTGCTACAAGGGTGTTGAGATGTAGATAAAATCTTTTCAGCAATATTAATTGCAAAATTAAAACCTAAAACATGGATTTAGTTCATGGGTTTTGCATGCATTCCTAAAAACTCTACTTAATATCTACAAATGTATTCTCTATCACATCTAAGTATTATAGAAAGAGATTTTTGCATGGCGTTGAAGACCGTAACTTCTTCTCCAATATTCAATCCGATGCAGGGGCGAAGATCAAAGAAGAGGTTAATAGAGTGATCGAATATTAGAAATTATATTGGTTGATGTAATACAAAGAGATTTCTCAATTTGGTGGTCGACAACAACCATTGAAGGGCTAGAGGTAGCAGTTGAAAATTGGAGGCCTTATCAAGGGGAAATAAACAATGGTTATAGGAGTTGGTGGCTAGTGAGGTGTTCCAACATAGGAGGTAGTATACTTTCCTTCATGTTTAAGGAGCATAGTTAATGGATGAACATGCCAAAGTTTAGAGTGGGAAGAAAACTAATGAGATGAAAATAAGAAAATTATCTGAGGATAAATATTTCTATCTAGTTTTTTTGTTTTTGGACAAAGAGGCATGCATCTTTGTGCGATAGTGAATGTAAATGGATCTCACAGCACCACGCAAAACTCTCTTGTGCTATTTTCTTAGTGTTTTACTTGTAAATTATTTCTCATGATCTTCATTTCTCTTGGGCTCAAGCTTTTCCTCCAACAAAAGTGAACAAGCATGGCTTCAAACAGGGCTGATCAAACATAGGACTATATTGTGATATGGCGGAAAATAGAAATGTAACACAAGTCTTGAACTGAAAACCTTTGGCCTTGAACCATTGTTAATCCTATCAACTACTTAGTTGGTAAACTTGAGCCCAAAATCTGTCACCAAACATCAACAAAGTACTCTAATAGAGCCATGATTATTTACACTATCAACAACATGCTTGATAGAATTCCAACACCTGATATTCAAAGAATAGATCAACAAACTACATCCAATACAAAAGAATTTAAAAAAACCAAAGACATTATATGGCACCTTAACTTTATATAGAATTTCAAACTTAGAAAACACAACAGTTTTTGGGCATATGGGAGAAAACACAATAGAAAAAAAAAAGTGACACTCCAAATTTAATATTGATATTACATTAGCTTATTTACTAAAAAGAATATTTAAATCAGCTAGCTAATATATAAACAATGAGGTCTAAGCTGCACATTCTATACAATGATATTTGGCTCGCCATTTTTAAATTAAAAAGGGTGAAAGACAGTTAAGAGATGCTAAAAGGCTCATTGTAAACAAGGGATGTTGAACAATCATGGGCATCCAGGCAATGCAGATTAAAAGATCAATATGAAAAGAGAAAATAACTTTAAATTTGCAACTCAAAATATTAATCAGAAAACATTGATCATACTTGTTCCCTTTGATTTTGAACCACGTCTCTGCACATTGCTTGTGAGCAGCAGCCAAGTCATCCTTGCAGGAACAACCTAATACAATCGGGATGCCAGATTCCTGGGAATGACTCTCCAAATTCAGATGACAAATTCTGCAATCCTTCTCAGCTTTTTCTACATTGGCCTTTATCTCCGGTGCCCCACACTCCAAATCCACTTCAACTGAGCAATCAGAAATGCAGGAGTTTCTGCAAGGCTCTTGAGCTCCAGATATCTCGTGACTAGATTCAATAGAAAGTCTGTATTCATGTACCGAATTGGATTCATAAGGTGAATGCCAATGCTCATCATCAGCATCCGAAAAGCAAGGACTTCCATCACTATCATTAGCAGTAGAATGCCTGCAAGGCCCAGCTTCAACTTTTTGAGAAGATTTCTCTTCCTTGATCACCATTTGCAGAAAACCCAATATGCAAAGGTTAATAGCAAGGCATCAAAAGGCCAAAGCAAGGTTTGGTTTTTACAACAGAAATGAAGTACAAGTTAAGAGATGAAATTAAATCTCAAATCAGTCAAGAATGAAGTTTTGATTCCCTTAGAAGAATCCTTTGAGGGGAACAAAAGGAGCAGGTAGGAAAACCTTTAAGGGAATAAAAACCCAAAATGCACTCTTGGATGGTTGAAATCCTTGGCCTTCCAATCATAAATCACCTGAAACAAATGCCACAAGACTCTACTGGAAAGGTTGCTTAATAGGGAGGTCCAAACCCATATCTAAGCTGAAAGAGAGAGAGGAGACTCCGAGTAAAAAATCTCATCTTTACATAATCCGAGCTCCCAAGAGTGTAATAATTTCCCAAACAACCAGCTGAACTCCAGCAACAGAGGAAATAAAACACAAAGCACTCAGATAAAGTAACACATTGGAGAAACAAATAGAGAAAAATAAACAAAACAAGACGGGAAAGAAAAGCTTAGCCAAGAGCTACCCTTGGAATGTATGAGCGACCAAGACGGATGGATCTCCGAAAGCTTCAGAAGAGGATGATGGAGAAAATGAATAAGGGCAGACAATATTAAAAGACACAATTTTTCCGGATAGGTCTGTAATCACTACCACCTGTCAAGTCTTACAACAGATTCGCCAAAGAAAAAAAAAAAAAAAAAAACAGATTCGCAAAAGGAAAAGTGGCAAGAGAAAAGAGAAAAGAACAGCTTTGCAGAGTAAGACGAAGAGAGAGAAGAAGGCCACAGTCTTCTCCTTGCTAGATCTCACCACACAGAAAGAGAGAGAAATTAAAAAAGAGAAAGAACATTATAATACTGCCACTGTCCGAAGTGAGAGGGAGAGGTATCGGAGGAGGCAGGAAGGTCCGAAAGCCTGAACTTCCCTTACTAATGAAAGGAGAAAGCGCATTATATTTTGGACAGGGTACTGCATCTGCACTCCAGTTGGTAAAATATTTTTTATTTTTGACGGTGAACCGACTACCCAAAAATATTACTTACTTGGGGTTAGTAGATTTTTAAAATTGGAGAAATGAGCATTGGTAAGGGATCGTTTATATAAATTTATTTGATTTTTATAATTTTATGAAAATAGTAACAATTTTTTAAGAGATTGATCTATTATAATATCATTTAAATCATAAATATTTACAAACTTAATATCTTTCTAAATTCATTCATTAAACTATTATTCAAATATTAAAATTAAAAAAATAAATAAATTTAAATATATATATTCATCAAATCCTTAATAATTTAATCCCAACTTACATGTATGCATGTACTAGTTAGTTCAAGATTATTCTTGGATGTTGTATATATAAAAAACCATTTGAAGGGCATTTGTATAAATAAATAAAAAAATTATTTACAAATACCTTTATATTATTTAAAAATAAGTATAATTAACCTAATCTATTTACAACTTCTTAAAATTCTCATAAAGGGTTGTTGGTTGCCTGAAAATAAAATGCAGTACAAAAGTAATACTTTGAAGTTATTTTGATGGAATGCATGACTTTCTTCTTTTTTTGACTTTAAGTAAAGTGAATGCAATAAGTTTAAAATGGTTATGCCCGGGGTGGCTAGCAGGCAGTGGCTGATGACAGCCTGTAGTGGCTGATAGTGGGGATGGTGGTCAGTGATAGCACTG